TTTTACTGAGTTTTCTTCTACATATGAAAGTAACCACATAGCGGGGTCTCGAATTCCCAGACAACGTGAATACCTTTAAAAGCCTGCCTAAAATAAAATTTTTAATTTATAGTTATTTTCATTGACAGTTACATATCGGATTTTCCCTTATTTTCCCATATTAAAGAAGGATTTTCCCTTTCCTCTCCCTCAAGTACTCGTACTCTGAAAAAATACTACTGGTTGGGAATTTATTTTCAATCTTTCGGGGCATTACAGTGGCTAAAAAAACTTCAAAAGACGTTATAAATCATTCGGCACCAGTCCTCCATTTCGGCAATTGCCGAGAAATCCTCTCTTTTTACGGGCTGAACTCCTCTCTTTTTACGGATCCCGAATCAGGTTCCATCCATTTTGAGACAAGACGATCGTATTGCACGAGCATGTCATCTTCAGAAACCTCATTTCTATTCTTAATCAACCGTTTCTCCTGTAAAGTTTGGCTGTTGTATTCGTTTCTTCAAAATTTTACAAATATGGCTTTTTTCTTCATTTCTGAGAAATTCTAGTCGTAAATCGATTTTTTTCTTAAATTTGACTTTTAGATTTTTCTGATCCACCAATCGGTTTTTTTTTTCAAGTACTTGCCGTCCAACTGCCTTTTGGGAAGTTTTTGAGATTGACTCGTTGAATATCGTTGAGTCAGGTGAGCGCTGGAGACTTTCATCGAGTTGTTCATCTTTGAAAGCCTATGTGAGTGAACTGTTGCAAAAAATGTCAGTAATTAGGCCTGAAAAAAACAGGAAGTCAAATTGGCGAGCCACAATCATGATTAGAAATGGATATAAATAAATCTTTTTAATCAAAAGTTGTAACTATAGATTATAGTAGATTCCCCAAGTAAAATATGGGTTCCGCTCATCGTTTGCGGATACAGCCTAATTTGTAGATCCCGTTTACCGCCGTGGTTTTCTCGACATCCTAATTCACTGTAGACCTTTTTGCTTATTAGATTCGGCATTCCAAAAAGTGTTTTATATGTATATTGTATATGATTAATCCTACAGCGATGAAGTCCAAATCCAGCAGGTTGATACCACCATTGTTCACTGCTGGGCTTATCAAAATTGCGATAGCCCAGCAGTGAACAGAGTAGAAAAAGAGAGCAAGAAACCTATGCCATTGTCTGGATTAGTTTCATCAACTTACAGATCGAAGAAGAATAAAAGAACAGTGGTGGACACGAGACTTGAAATGGAAGTCTTATGTCAGCGTAAGAGCAGCGGCCATGACAAAAAGAATCTTCGCAAACCAACATTTCACGTGGGAAAATGGAGAGAAAGTATTACATTTTCCCAGACATTTTACAGTGACCTAAGGTAGAAAAAACCGACTGGCTGAGTCAGATACCTTGGTTTTATGTGCTCTTCTTCCTCTCGACATAGCTAAACAATTTTTACTTAGTTTTCTTCTACATATGAAAATAACCACATAGCGGGGTCTCGGATTCCCAGACAACCTGAATACTATCAAAAGCAGGACTGAAAAAGCTAATTATAGTTACATATCGGATCTATTAAGAAGGATTTTCCCTTTCCTCGCACTCAAGTACTCGTACTCTGAAAAATTACAACTAATTTGGAATTGAATTTCAATCTTTCGGGGCATTACAGTAGCTAAAAAACTTTAAAAGACGTTATAAAATCATTCGGCACCAGGCCTCCATTTCGGCAATTGCCGAGAAATCCTCTCTTTTTACGGGCTGAATTCCTCTCTTTTTACGGATCCCGAATCAGGTTCCATCCATTTTGAGAAATGACGATCGTATTGCACGAGCATGTCATATTCAGAAACCTCATTTCTATTCCTTATCAACCTTTTCTCCTGTAAAGTTTGGCTGTTGTATTCGTTTCTTCAAAATTTTACAAATATGGCTTTTTTCTTTATTTCTGAGAAATTCTAGTCGTAAATCGATTTTTTTTCTTAAATTTGACTTTTAAGTTAATCTGACCCTCCGTTTGTTTGTAATTTTGCCTCTAAGTTCCTAATTCCAAACTGCTGCTGGCTAGGAGGCTTCTGACGGAACAGCCCAGAGCTTGAATCTTGCTTAATCGTATTTTAATGAGCCACAATCATGGTTAGAAATGGACTTAAATAATCTTTTTAATCGAAAGTTGTAACTATAGATTATAGTAGATTCCCCCAGTAAAATATGGGTTCAGCTCATCTTTTGCGGATACAGCCTAATTTGTAGATCCCGTTTACAGCCGTGGATTTCTTGACATCCTAATTCACTGTAGACCTTTTTGCTCATTTGATTCGGCATTCCAAAAAGTGTTTTGTATTTATATTGTATATGATTAATCCTACAGCGATGAAGTCCAAATCCAGCACGTTGATTCCATCATTGGCAAAAACTCGCGTCTTATCGAAATTGCGATAACCCAGCAATGAACAGAGTAGAAAAAGAGAGCAAGATACCTATAATTTTGTCTGGTTAGTTTCATCATTTTACAGATCAAAGAAGAATAAAAAACGCTGGCGGACACGAGACTTGAACTGGAAGTCTTAAGTCAGTGTAAAAGCGGCGGCCATGACAACAAAAAACTTCGAAAACCAACATTGCACGTGGGAAAATGGAGTGAAAGTATTACATTTTCCCAGAAATTTCACAGCGACCTAAGATAGAAAAAACCGACAGGCTGAGTCAGATTCCTCGATTTTATGTGCTCTTCGTCGTCTCGACCTAGCTGTTTGATTTTTGGTCTGTTTAAGGGCTAACCATTTTGTTCAAACTGTTAGGCTATCAGCCAAACGATTTTTACTGAGTTTTCTTCTACATATGAAAGTAACTACATAGCGGGGTCTCGGATTCCCAGACAACGTGAATACCTTTAAAAGCAGGGCTGAAAAATATAATTATAGTTATTTTCATTGTCAGTTACATATCGAATCTATTACAGAAGGATTTTCCCTTTCCTCTCCCTCAAGTACTCGTACTCTGAAAAAATACTACTGGTTGGGAATTTGTTTTCAATCTTTCGGGGCATTACAGTAGCTAAAAATTTTTAAAAGACGTTATAAAATCATTCGGCACCAGGCCTCCATTTCGGCAATTGCCAAGAAATCCTCTCTTTTTACGGGCTGAAATCCTCTCATTTTGCGGGAACTGAATCAGGTTCCATCCATTTTGAGAAATCACGATCGTATTGCACGTGCATGTCACCTTCAGAAACTTCATTTATATTTCTTAATCAATCGTTTCTGATGTAAAGTTTGGCTGTTGTATTCGTTTCTTCAAAACTTTCAAAATACGGCTTTTTTCTTCATTTCTGAGAAATTCTAGCTCGTAAATTGATTTGTTTCTTAAATTTGACTTTTAGATTATTCTGACCCTCCGTTTGTTTGTAACTTTTTTTAAATGGATATCCATTAATACCTGTCATTTTTTGCTTCTTCTAATCTTCAAATAAATCACCAATTTTAATTTTAAAAAAGCTTATAAATTTTCTTTCAAATTTTCAATCAATTTTGATTGGGAGAACTTAATCATATTTTCAAAAATGCATAATTTCTGATCAAGACAACGACTTTAAAAACGTTTCTAACTCTTGAGCTGTGCCTGTTTCTTTGACCTGTCATCTTCTTCTAGGGTGGGGAGGAGGCGTGTCTAGGATATTAGACAAAGACAAATTGCTACCCGGGTCGAGATCCCGCTCAAAAACCGCTCAATATTTGAGCGGTTTGAGAGGTTTTCCAGCAAGATTTGAGCGGTTTGAGCGGTTTGGGCGGTTTGGGCGGTTTTTTTGGAAAAACCGCTCAAACCGCTCAAATCTTGCTTAAAAAACCGCTCAAAAATCGCTCATTTCTTGCGGTGATTTTTGAACGGTTTTTCGAGCAAGATTTGAGCGGTTTTTGAGCGGTTTTTCCAAAAAAAACCGCCCAAACCGCCCAAACCGCCCAAACCGCTCAAACCGCTCAAATCTTGCTGGAAAACCGCTCAAACCAACATATTCAGTAGAACAAATACAACGAATATTTTGCTTTCAGTAAGTCCGCATAGCCTAACGGATAAGGCGTCTGAATTCGAATCAGAAGATTGCAGGTTCGAATCCCTTTGTGGTCGATTTTTTATTATTAAATCTTGCGCGGTTTTTGAGCGGTTTATTTAGATAAACCGCTCAGAACCGTTCAAATCTTGCGCGGTTTTTGAGCGGTTTTTTTAGATAAACCGTTCAAAAACCGCTCAAACCGCTCATTTTGAAGCAAGATTTTGAGCGTAATTGTCTAAAAAAACCGCTCAAACCGCTCAAATCTTGCTTCAAATTAGGTGAAAAATCTCGACTCGGGTAATCAGCTCCTTTTTAATTTACCTGCAACGCTCCTCAGCCCCTGGGGTTTGCCTCATTTAGTTTTTCAGGAAACGTCTTACACTTTATTCTGTTGGGTTTCCTCGTTGATTTCACCTGCAAGAAAGGAACGAGATTTTCTGGAGTTAAAAGAGCTAACAAAAAAAATTTAAAGCGACCAATTTTAAACTGAAGTTGCGATGAAAACTTTTCAAAAAGACACCTCATAAGTATTATTTTTAAGCAGCTAAAATTTTGGTGATAGGTCAACAAGCCGAAAGATAAGAGTACCCCGTTTCATCAAGCCGAATGTTAATTTTGTTAAACAACATATTTATAGATTGTCACTGTTTTTATTATATAGTTATACGGATTTCTGATGCAATTTACGTTATTCTGATGTAATTTCGGCTTCAAGAGATGCAGTTTGTTGAACATCCAGCAAAATTTTGGATGTTAAAAATTTACTAACTGTTTTTTTAAAAGAAATTTTGGTAGAGTCGGTCAAAACATAGCGCCTCGACACATGCAATCAGCACAACAGCAGTAAAATATTTTGAATACAATTGCTCATGTTTGTGAGGACAAAAGCAGTCACCTGATTTCCAAAACATATTTGCTTCTCAAAAAAATGTTCTTTTCCATTTGTTCGTTTTCAGTTCCCAAGTTTACTTTTAGAAACACCGTTTGAACACCTGCGCGTCGTTTAATGCGGTCATCTTTTATGCCAGTTTATTTTAAATGGAGACTATTTTTGAGATTCTTTTCTGGCTTAACTTTGCAGCAGGGCGCGGACTGCGTGCTTGTTTCATATGTGGGGACAGATTGGTCGAAGAAGAACCCCTTCATAGGAGAGAAGTCAGGTAAAAGATCTTCTATGTAAAAGAGAAAACGGGAGCTATTTAACTCAAAAATTAAACCTCTTCTATGTATTTGTCACTCAAAATCAATTTCACAAATCCGGTTAACTATTAAGAGACTCATTTGACCAGCATTTTTTAACTAGAATTTGTCAACATGTGGCTGGGAGGTCTGAGCAAAACTCTTAAAAAACGTTTAAGCAACAAGTTTTGGATGATTTTTAGAACGCTGGGGGCTGGCGGTAATAAACCACCGGCGCTCCTAACTCCACCAACATACTGTGTTTGTCTTGAAAAGGAGGGGGCTAGCTTGAAATGATTTTCGTATGATCGCACATCACGACGGAGAGGAATAGCAACTAAATAGATTCCTGATTTTTAATTGACCCACAGTGACGAAAATGGATAATATTTTTAAGCAGATTTTGTATTGTTAAACCGTAATTATCGAATCGATTCAACAACAAGAATTTATTTGCGAGCGATACTCGCAAAATGCAAAATAGTTTGGATTTTTCGGATTTCTGTAATTAATTCCACCTATTTGCAACAGGGGGAATTTCATTACTAATGTTTTCCGTATAAAACTGATTATTTGTGAAAAAAAACTACAATAGTTGTAGTGTCAATTTTGGGTCTCAAAATTTTACCTTTAATGATCACGTTTGCTAACAAACTTAAGTTTTAATCTATACATATCAAAAGATATCCGTCTGTGCTATTGTGAACTAAGTCACTTGAGGCGAGTTGTCATCCGCAAGCCATAAGTTCTCTTCAAAACTTTACATCTTAAAGGTTCTGCCAATATGTTTTTCTTTATTTAAAGGTTTACAATTGTTTGAATTTAGTTTTCGGGATCTCCCCCTTTTTGGAACTACTGCATTACCTTGTATAATTTATAAATAAAACATTTTGAACAATAATACATAAAGAAGGAGGTATCAATTCTTACGAGAATCTCTCCCTCCCCTTTTTGCATGCAATGTATTTTTGTTCAGATATAGTTTTTCTTATAAATTAAGATTTTCCTTTTTTTTGATTAATTGTTGTCAGTTTTTTGTAGAATGATCCTTTCTCTCTGTGCAAAATCAAGCTGCATCTACAAGCAGGCTTAATTTGAAAAACTAATTTTGAAGTTGATATTGTATTTTTTAGCTTTCCATCCAGTCAGCATATTCGTTCAAATGACAAATTACTGGGCGACTTCGCCTTTTTGAAGGTAGATGAAATTGTGGGGGAAATGTATTGTGGCAACTTGTGTGTGTTCAACACTCCCTGCAAATCATACAATTTCAACACAGCTGTCAAACAGTGCCAATTACTAGCCACTGATTTACACCTCAAAAACATTACTTCTATCGGTAAGTTTGCTGTTTTTAACCCTGCAGCTACTTCTTACAATATGGAATTCAATCAGAAAGAAAATGTTTGTAGTTCAGATATTCTCGACTATATAATTTTATCTAACATAATTTCAATCTAAAAAAATTTCCAAACTATGTTAGATTGAAAATGACTGATAAATAAAATTTTGGATAACATTTTAAGAGTGTTTAAGATCATTAAGAAAATTATAAATCAATTTATCAGAGTTAGTACCAATTTGATGATTCATATTACAACCAACGTTACCCGCTGTAACTTGTGTCGATAATTGATTCAAACAGCTAGGGTCCTCAGAATTTATCAAGTTTATCAGAAACTTGCTTTTAAGTCCTAAAAAAGCGATTGCGGTGATAAAAAGTCATATCTTCCTTGTTTCCCTTTTCAAAGAAAAAAGAAAAATATACTTGATCACTTAATTTTTTTTCTTCGGGCCAATTTCATTTAGCATCAAATCACACTGACGCATATTTGCAAAGCGATGAGGAAGATATCCGAACTCTGAGTTTGAAATGGGAAAGATGTTCCTGCTATCAATTTCTGAAAAATTATGGAGATTTCTTTTTTTATCTAAAGTGTCATGAAATTTTGCAAATAAAAAAGAGCTTTTGATAACCCAAAATGATCACATGCTAGATAAATGAAAAAGAAGTTGGTAATTATTTCTATTTTATCCCGTAATGAGCAGTGTGTAGTACAAAAATTTAGATTTTCTTCTCTTAACTTAATAATAAAACCAAAGTATCTGCGTTATTCAATTGGAATGATTTGATAGCCATTCAAGCTTTAAAACAACTAAGTCATTGCGCGTCAGTTATACCAAATTAGCGAAATGGCATTTTTCAAACCTCATTTTTTTGCAAAAAATGGCCACAGGCTAAAATCTTTCCGATTTTGAGCTCAAGACACAATCAATAATCAGGTGAGTTAAAAAAAGTAATAAAAAGGCTACCTGAAATATCAAAAACTGTCTGAAGAGAAGCTCTCATGGTAACTAAAGAATCGTATCATTATCTTTTTTTGTTTTCGTGAGCAAAAATTATTTCCAAACAATTCCTTGTTTTCAACATCATCAGCTTTTCGAAACTAGCATTTTTTTCGTTTAAAACTTTTTTTGAAACTACCATGGCTGCTGATAATAACGCAAATCCCTGAACATTCCAAGTGCTTTTTTACTCTATCTGCGACATGTTTTCTTCATATAAAATCGAAACAATTGTTTCATTTTCATATTTTTGTTGTCGAATCTTGTGAGTTGCCAATATAGGCATTCAGCTTGCATATGAGGAAAAAGTTAACTTCTTGACCCTGACAAAAACAAAATTATCTATATGAAACTGAACGGTTAAGAATAACCGATAAACTTAGAAAAACTAATTCAACTTCAACTCATGCAAACAATAAAAGTGTTCTGCTTTTTGTGAATGATTTAAATTTGGATGTATGTTCTGCAAAAATTAGTTTAATAGCAATTGTCAAAATAAATACAAAGTTCGATTGTGACCTGAAAAAATTGTTAGTCATTTGTAAGGTAGGTAAATTGGCCAACCGTTTCATTAAAAGAACTGAGTGTTTTGAAATTTTGAAAATTTTATTCCAAAGATGAAGCTAACTTCAAAAACAATTTTTCAACTTAAGTTTGATTGCTTTTTTCTATGATGAGCCTGTTTGGTTGCTCTACCAGATCGAATATGGACTAAGACTCAAAAATTTCATAGCGGTTTTTCTCAACGCTGGGACAGTTTTTTTTTTTTTACTGTTGTTCAAATCAGAGCTGAAATGGCTTTATTATGATATATATTTTCAGTCAAAACTATACTTTTTTGCATTAAACAATTTTGGTTGAAAAACAAAATAGACCTGCTCACTCACCTCATTCGCTCGATATTAGGCACAAAATCAAAATTTTCAAATTGGTTTTTCTCGACGCTGAAAATTTTTTTGGAATTTTTCTAATGTCGTTTGAATCAACACTGAGAAAGCTTAATTTTTATATATTTCTCAAACCATTCCGATGATTATTTGTGTTACTTGTGATAATTGCATGACGAGCATTTTATCATAATTTTTTCAAAAAATTGAATCAAAAACACTTAGATTATTGTAAATGGCTGAAGTTTAAAGTACAAAAACAAAAAAAAAACGGTACTTAAAACAAAACAAAAAACACTTTGTGTTATTGGATTTGTTGTTTGACATCAGCTGTGAACTACTTTATAGACACATAGAAAACAAACTTTGCGTGCATTTTAATTTGAAATGGTTTGGCGATGAAAGAATTGAGTTTGCGCTCCAAAAAGATGGAAGCCTTATTGATCCCAAACTTGCTCTCATGTATTAAAAGTTGCCCAAACTCGTATCATTGGAAAAAAATCTTTTGGACAATCTCTACCTAAGATTATCGTATGACATTTGTCAAATTGTATCGCAGACATTTTTCCTGAATGCACATCAACCGCGTTACTTCAGCAGCGTTTTCTAACTTAATTCATTTGTCACAAAAACCTAATTCCTTGTAATCAACACAATTATCAAGGATCTTTCCAGAACAGAAACCAGAAATCCGATTTAAGTAATGAAATTATCTCCTAGGTACAATTCAAAAAACATAATTACCGTGAATGACTAAAAAAAATTTCTACTTTTCTTTGATATTTTGCTGTTTTGATTTTCACACGCCAACAGCTGAAATACTGTACCGCTCAAAATTGCTCCAAAGTCAGGCGAATTTGCGGAATCGGCAAGAGTATTTGCGGAATCCGGAACAGTTTGCGTATTCCACAAACATATTTAAAAAATCAGTGATGTGTGCTGTTGTGCTTCCAAAACTAAAATTCCAAAAATGATTGCTGTGAAATGCAAAAAGGTACATCCACAATTCAGTTACCCAATGATTTGACATTTGATCATGAATTCCATTGTTAATTACTTGCTTTTATATTCTGCATTTGCTAGATAATAGTTATAGCCCTAGTTTTTAACTGTTCATACGCCAGAACTGATTTAGTTCAGTTTGATAAACAAAATTGCGGATTCCCGCAACAAGTTTTGAGGTTTTCACGTAAATTTGCAGAATCAATTTTTGATGCGCAATCCAGAACGATAAGCCAAATTTGTTTGTTGCGGAATCTGCGGCAAAACAAATGTGTCCACAAGTTTTACGTTACAGGTATCTGTACGCAGAAACCAGTTCACAGTTTAGCCGCGTAAGGTAATAGGGATCAAGTTATAGGCTTGCATATTTTTGAAAAACTTTCGTCGAAAAAAAATCACTTTACGACTAATCAGAATTATCCAACTTTTTTTTGCTTACTTTTGTAAGACTTTAATTCAAATTGCTTATGATAAGCCTTGTAAAATTGTTCACATGCAATGCGGATATTTAGAACCTGTAAGATACGCTTTTTTTCGTAAGTTTCATAAATGGAATTATATGAGAAGCATTTTGCGCATGGAGGAATATCGGGATTCCAGTCGTCGCCAGTTATATCAAAGGGTTTTGACGAGTTCGGTTGAGCTCCAAACCATGTGCATATCTTTTCTTTCTGATAATTCATCCACAAGGGAAAGGACCGACATACGAGCTGTTCAGCTCTTCACGGAGAACCGCTGTTGTGCCCCTGGTTAAAATTTACATGCGGTTTTTGGCTATTTTTCTGGGCTGGGTAATGTTGCCCTCACCCCCTCAGACATCGAGCACAGATCATGGTGGGCCTCCAACATCCGACTTTTCGATTGAGAGGCGGAGACGTAACCACTTAACCACCGCTCCCCTCTTTAAAATGCCATAGTACTTGAAGGTCAAAAGATGAATGCGGTTTGAAACTGACAAAAACAAAGAACCTAGAACACTGCTAGTCTACAAACACTACTTTTTATCAATGAAGCAATAATTTAAGAATGAATGACAAGATTTCTGCTTAAATTTTGGTTTTCAATTTTCTCAGCAAATTGATTGATTACTGTGAAAACTTAGTGTTGGAACAATTTCCAACAAAACAAGTGCTCCGAATTATTTTTGCAGTTTTCTCCAAAAATATATTCAGCTTTTTTATCGCTAAAAAATTGACAATTTTTTGGTAAGCATGTGTATTCAACAATAATTGACCTACTATTTGGAATTTTCTTTTTTCTTAACGTGAGGAGTTGGTTCAACACCGAAAGTTGTTTTCTATCCTTTTGGTTAGTGAGGGGGTCGAATCCTTGAGAGGGGCTTCCGCCCTCACTCTCTAAATCCACCACTGCACAGAGAACCGCTGTTTCTCCTCTGCTTAGGAATTACATTTTTTTGGCTACTTTTTTTGGCTACTTTTCTGGGCAGTGGAGTATTGCCCCACCCTCAAGCAACGATCACGGATCATAGTGGTCTCGATCAGCCGACGTTTCCATTGAGTGGCGGAAACGTAACCACTTCACCACCGCTCGCGAAAAATTATGAAGTTTCATCGTTTCAGAAACAAATACGAATGGGATCTGGATTCACCGGTCTCTGAACAATGTGCTCTCCAGGGGATGCAGGAACAACTCTGTGATCTTGTCTGACTGTGTCAACATGTGGGTGGAGTCAGTAACCACTCATGAGATGGTGATTGTGTGGGTGGAGCCGTCCGATGAAGACGAAGATGAAACTCAGTTTTTAATAGTAAGTCGAAAAGTTCAATTCCAATTAGCAATTAGTGTTGTGTGCCCATTATAAACAGTTTTGTCTTACCTGCACTGACAAACCTTTGATCATGATCGATTTGAATCGATTTTTTTTGAGATTACATAGAGCATGAAATTCAGTTTTATGAATCCCAATTGCCAAAGGTAGATCAATTTACAAAGGATTTCATTAATTGTTTTTTAGGTCGTTATAAAAGTTTTTGGTTCGTAAAAAAGATCAGGATTTGAAGTTACTCAGCTTACATGAGCTACATTGCATTGTAGTCATTTGCTTGCTGCAAGTCATTACTTTTAGGGCAATCACTGTCAGAAAAGTCGCAAGAAAAATTGTCTGTGACGTTAGAAATGCAGAATCCTAAAAATCTCAAAGTTCCCATGAAATTAAGAAAGCTGTGAAATCAAAATCAATTTTTTTGTTTTTATTCACAAAAGTAGGATAGAAGCGTAGAATGAAACTGCAAGTTATTCAAAAAGAATTGTATGAGGCGAATTGTATGAGGTAAACTCAGAGAAACTAATAAAATGTTTTGAGATATAAAGCAAAAGCAAATGGAACCTGATCTAAACTATATTTTATGATTGGATAAATTAAATGTTTTACCAATGTAAAGTATTTAATATTAACCAATCATGATCCATCTAACTAACAACCCACTTATTTGTAAGTGCTGAAGTTACTTGTAATTTCAGCACCAGAGAGATTTGAATTTAACTTAGAAATTAGTTGGACTCTCCCGAGCACTTCAGCAGCCGCAGTAAACCAGTATACCCTAGATCTATTGAGCCTAGCAGAGACTAGTTAAACAACCTGAGACTAGATAGTATAAGAGTAAGATTAGGATCGGTATTAGACTAAGAAGTTGCACGAATCTATCCGGCCGAAAATAAGATAGCGTGACGAGCAGACGGTGTACCCTATCCGAAATTACTCTATGGGTTACACTTCGGTCATAACTCATCTGGTGCGACCATAAGTCTCGAACAAGACCTTACTAGATTAGAATTAACCAAAAATAGATTAGAAATTAGACAAAAACATTTACAAAATGTTATACGACAATAATTTAATTGAAATGTCTCTCCGACTCAATAGATCAGAGCCAATATTCCGAACCATAACAGAACTACCCGGAATTGGAAGAAGACCTCGAACCAAAGACGACATACGACAAAGTAGAAACTTGCCGTATAGTTATATGATAGTTCGGCAAAAGCCAGAACAAACTTTTATATTTCGAATACTACTTGCAATGAATTTAGATTTCCATTTGCAAACATAAAACCTTGAAGTTACTCTTCAAAATCATTACAGGCGCTAAAAAAAATTAATATTATACAATAACGATTGATAAAAAGATCTAAGATCGTTTTCCTAAAACTCTGCAGTATTATACAAAACATGTTTGAAAAATATTTATTGGAAAATAAAAATAAAAATTAGTAGCATGACAATAAATGGTTAGTAATCATAAATCATCCTGTTGTTCCAGCTTCATCACCTAAAACATAACAGCAATCATCAACTCACTAACATCATAAAACACTAAATCTTTCCTTTACACAAATTTAAAACTTTAAAAAAACTTAAAGTCACTTAATTTAAAATCAGATCATCAAGGCTTATCCTTGGATCTTAAATCATTTTCTACTTAATTAAATTTCAAACTTGATCATCAAGGCTTATCCTTGGATCAAACAGAACAACTTTGTTCTCCCCCACCCACTTAATTAGTGTCTAACGACCTCAAACGTCGATTCACTACCCAACCCTTTCTAAAGACCCAAGACTAATAGAAATTTTTAAACAAAACTAATCATTCAAATTAGGATAAATAGTGAAGAACTTCGGTTATTCATCCTTCACTTGACCCCCCCTCTTACCAGACCCAGGATAAATCTTAGACTTAGTAAGTTTAAAATAGTATCTAACGAACTACTCGCGTTCTAATTATACCTGAACCTTGTGGATCGATTTACTATTCTCCAACCCTTGAACACAATCACTACCCCTAAGTAAGATTAAGTAAGTTAACACCTTAGCTTATACTAGTCACGAGAAAGTAAAAATCATTCTTCGGAATCGATATACTTTTCTCTCCAACCCTGAACAAATAGACCCAGGTTAAGCTAACCAAAAAATCGTAAGAACTAACAGTTTAGGAAAATAGAAATCATTTAACAACCCTTTGCATCCGTCATTCTAAACCTTATGTCATTTAAAAACCTAGGAAATAAACAAACAATCGTTTTACACAATTGTGAAATAGATAACAAAAAATACGACCTTGTAATCACACCTCATACACAAACAGTTGGATACATTCGAACAAAACGACAAACACTAAAGAGGAAAATAATAACTAAACAAAGACAAATAACACGAAAAAGATTTTCAAAAAATCGAAACGCATTTTCAGAATCAGAAACCAACAGTTTAGACGAACTTTACAAACTAAAAGAATCAATAGATAAAAATTACCCACTTCACGATCAATTATATTTTTCTGACTCAGAAACAACTTCAAATTCATCACAAAGAGGAAAAAGAAGAATAAAAAAACAGTACAAACACAAACCAGTACATCTATACAATTGGAATCAACCAATTCGACACATTAATAATTACATATTAACAGTCATCGAACGAAAAAATGAGCTCAACGCACACTCCAGGTGAAGAAACTCCAGATGATGATGAAATCTTTCCTTTTATAATAGATGCAGATACCGATAGAGGACAACACATATTTTGTCAAAATTTACTCGTAAATTTATTTGAACCCGGAATTAGTCCATGTAAAACAGAGTTCCCCGATGTAAAAATCAAAAGACAAATCATAGATCACTATCTAAAAGATATATGCAACATAACACAACAGTATGGAATCTACTCTATAGAATTCACTTCCCCAAACCATAATAATAGAACATATACTATTCAAACAGACGATCTTGATTTAGAATTTTCAAAAGTTTTTTCAGAATATATAAAAAGCATCCAATACCATAACTCACAAAGAGCAAACTCCATTTTCACCAATGAAGTTTTCGCAATAATATATAGTTATATTTCGATATTAGAAAATGAACTCCCATTAACAAATGTCTCACCGACAGAAACATCTAAACATTTAAGAGTACGACATGAAATCACACTACTCTCTAGTTATTTAAACATCATTAAAGAAAATTTCACGAAAGACGACGTTTCACAACATACAAAACACGATTTACAAAAAATCTTGGCATGGTTCATAATAGATTATTTCACACATAATATTGATTTAATTGCACAAGCAAGAAAAAATTTTAGACCCCAAAACTCGAACGATGATACCGCTATCACAGAACAATCAGATTATGTTTGGGACCCCGAATGGTCTCATCCCGCATTTATAAGCTTCCCACAATCAATCTCAAGTCAAGCAATAAGTACGATATCTTACATAAGAGACTATGTAAGAGTAATACCGTTAACAATTGATGCAACACCATTAAACTATAATACATTTTTACCCGATACACAAAATAATAGTTTAAACTCTACAGTTATACACAATGAAAACCTCAATGGAACTAGGAATCTTACTCAACAAGATAAACAGACACCATCACACTTCATAAATGAAGAAATTGTACACACAACAACTACACAACAAAGTATTTCACCAATACGCCCAAATTTAACAACACCAAGAAATACAAATCCTTCACAAACACAGGTAACCTTACAATCAACCGTTAAACCTTCGGTTGCTCCTAAATATTCACATATGGATTACCAAACATACAGACCCATGACAATACCATCAAAAACACGCAAAACATTCACTAGAAACAACTTTGCAGACCATAATTATAATTATACACATCCATCAAAAACATATAATCAACCACAAAGAAATTTTAACCAATATACAAGATCTCGAAATTGGGATAACCCAATGACCCAACCTAATTCAACAAATTTCCAAACAAATCCTCCACGGGATCATAGTGAAAATTACCCATTTTTTCAACAAAATAAAAATAAAAAACAAACATCTTATCAAATGGATTATTTATCCTCAGATGATGATTTTTTACAACCAGATATATTTGCACAAAATACTCAAGAACATCGTAGACAAGGAATACAGAAAACACGTACAAATCATAGGAATTTTTCTCCACAACCAATAGATGCACAACATCAACAACCAATTCAACAACAAAATCCAATTAATACACAATCTTTTCAACCAATTCAACAACAAAATCCAATGACTGCACACTCGTATCAACCATCACAAATGCAAAATGAAATACCACTCCCATATTATCTTCAACAACATGAAATAACAAGAAACCAACTTTCAAATTTTTCTCAAATGCCAAATGCAGCAGAATCATTACAAATGACAATGAGTCCATACCTTATGGGTGGATCATCAATAACATCAAACAAACCTTTAATGGTTTTCACAGGAACAGACCCTGAATATTCTGTAGAAGATTATTTAAATGCAGTAACAGCAAACCTGATTTTAAACATTGGACCTGAACCAATTAATACGCCACTACATCAAAACTGGATACATCGACGCACAGCGTTGATACAAACAACCTTAGATGGCGCAGCCCAAAAATGGTTTTCAGTACTACCTCTAGAAATAAAATCAAACTGGAAAAGATTTACACAAGAATTTTCAAAAATGTTTGACTCCGAAAGAAACAAACAACAACAAAGAGTTTTATGTAATGAAATTCGCAGATTACCAAACGAAACCATCAAGCAAATAGCAGTACGAATCGAAACACTAGTTCGAAAAGCATACTCACTAAATACACATGACTATAAAAACACAAAGATGACAGAAATCTTAATGATGACCTTAACACCACAATTAAGGAAAATAGCAATAAAAAAGAGAGCATCCCATCCTTCTTCAATTCGAGAACCCGATTTAGATTTTCGAAAACTAGTAGACAAATTAG